AGCGTGCCGTCTACCGTGGGCTCTGCTGTTCCAAGGGAGATTGGGCCCAACGGTAGGAGAAATAGTTGGGCCGTAGGAGAAATCTATTTGAACTTCCTCTACTTTCATCGTCCCTCGATCGAAAAATCGGTTTTCCAAGTTTGCTCTCAAGATGATTTCAAAAGGGGTTTTTGGCCGATGTAGTGCCATGTCGGTCATGAGAGAAGTAAATCAACTACGTTGACAATTCGAAGAGACCAATTAGGTTTTTTTTTTTCAAAAAATACAATTTTAAAAAATATGTAATTAATTCCTAAGACACGATCTAATCTAGAAAAAGTAATAGGACTGGAAAAAAAAACCTATGGCTCAATAACTCGCTCAACTGGACTCGTTAGTGGTGGCCAACTTGACACATTTACTTTTTCCTAACAAGCTGAGCCAATAGTTTAGCTTCTTTAGTTAACGAGCTAGCTTGAGATATAGTTGTCCATGCAGCCCGAGGCACGACGACGACACGAAGCCCGTTTTTTTAGCCCGACACGAGCACGGCACGGCCCGATGACATGCGGGCCCGGGCTGGCCCGGCCCGAGGGTGCAGGCCATGCCTGGGCCGCGGCACAGGGCTGTGGGCTGGCACGGCACGACCCGCCCTGCGTCAGCCTGCATCGGCAGCGGCCCGGCCACCCCCCGCCCCCTCCTCACTCCACTCCTCCCCTCCCGGCCCACCGTCCCCGCCTCATATATGAGCCGCACCCACACGCCGCGCCCGCGGTGGCTCCCCCCGCGCAGCCACGCTCGGACGCTCCCACCCATGAACTAACTCCCCGTCTCCATCTCCTCCGCCTCCCCCATCTCCCCGTCTCCATCTGCTCCCCGTCCCCATCTCCCGTCTCAAGATCAGGCATGGTGGTGGCTTGGCGGCCCGATCTGTTGCCCGCGGCCACAAGGCCTCCTCCATCCCCACCCCAGGCGCGCTCGCGGCACACATGGCGGCCCCTTCCTTCACCAAAGAATCATGCCCCCCCCCCCCCCAGAGGCCGGTGAGGTGGCCCCTTCCCCACCAACAGCAGCGGTTGCGGCAGCCACTTCCCTCACCGGCGGCTACGGCGCCTTCCCCACCGACGGCGAAAGCGACGGGTTCCTGTGCGACGCGGACGGGATGGGGATCGAGGGCGCGGTGCCATGCGATGATGGACGCGAGGCGCTCAGCGGGCAGATCTACCGTGTTGCCCGCCGCGCCACCGCCCCATGACCCTACGGGAGCGAGGAGGGTCGCGCTTCGCCGCCAGGGGCCTCCGCCGCGCGCTCTCCTCCCGGGTCGCCTCGGCCGCAGGCGCCCGCCTACCCTCTCCCTCCCCTGCTGATGCGGGCCTCGGGTCGGCTGGCACATTAAAAGGTGCGTGCTTTTAGGCCGGCCCGGCATGGAAAGTGGCTCGACAGGCATGTGCGGGCCGTCGGCTACTAGGCACTGGTGGACGGGGGCGGCCGCGGCCCGCGTGACCCGGCGTGTTTCATCATCGTGTTGTGCCCTCATCGGGCCGTGCACGGCTGCGGGTCTTGCGGGTCCGGGCCGGGTGGCCCGAATGGCCAGCTATAGCTTGAGCTAAAGAAAACAACATGCACATCTCTAAAATTGGCCCAACACAACAATACGATCCAACACACCATCTACCCCTAGAGACATCAAGTCCTCGACTAACCAACACTGCATGCTGCACTGTGATGAGTCACGACTCTTCTACCTCTTCTCAGACTCCTACTCTCTCTATCCCAGAATAAGTGAACTCTAGCATTTCAAGGACTCAAACAATTTCAAGTTTAACTAGATTTATGGAAAATGGTATTGACATTTGTATCTCTAAATATGTTTATTATAAAAATATATAATGTGACTAATTTAATGATACTTATTTGACATCATGAACATTAGTATAGTTTTGTTATATTTGGTTAAAATTAAGATTGACTGACTCCTTAAAATGCAAGATATGTACTTATTTTGGATCAAAGGAGTATCTCTTTCTAGTTTCCTTTTTCCACTCTCTGTGCCACCGGCTATATATCCCCTACTCTCGACGTGATGGTGCATCGTTTGTTTGGCCATAGTTCCTACCCAGCGGCTAGGACACAATGCTGGTGTGTCTGACACTGCACCACATAATAGTCGTCCCATCTTCACCCTCTGCCCTGGAAGCCACCAAGCAGCTGCTAACAAGCACATGCTGGTCAAATCATATGCTGATTCAAGGCACACAATAGCACAAATATAGAGAAAAATTAGCTCTCTGCCTCTCATCCATGCATATCTATGTGTGTATTCATAATACTGAGCAGTCTGTACAATGATGGGATCCAAATGTTATCTACCATTCTCTTTGAAAAATGTTGAAGATTTTGTATGGAAAATAATCGATTCCTACTGTGCAATTGACTTCTAGAATAAGTTACCTACAATTCCCTTTTCTTTTCTTGATTTCTATACCTAGCTCAGCAATCCAGATGACAAACAAGATGATCCGAGCTGCGTCAAGCTGGCCATAACCAAAGATCTCAACTAAACACATATTGAAGATGCACCGAGATGTGATGCAAAGGGAGAAAAACTATGAATATAGAAGGATAATATATATAGTAATCGCTATCACATCAAATAGAGATTAAGTGGTGTCTGTATAGCTATTGCATTAGAAATGAATAGAGAGAATTATAGGTACTCATGTCTAATAAAATCGTAACATGTACAGAAACATGGGTCAATAGACTATTGATGACAATAGTGTTAAACCTATAGATGGTAGATCCCTCTCTGGGTGCCAAAGTTACTGATGCTATATATGAAGTTGCATATATAACGCAAATATACTCACTAATTGTTTTAATGGTTCATGATTGATCAAGTTATCACAACTCCAATCATTCTAAAAAAAAGTTATCACAACTCCGATCATTGGTCTCCTAGTCCAGCCTTGCTGAAATTGAAGCAATAGCTAGCCCAGACAATTTTTAGTCGTCGACATTAGAAGAGACACAATGAAGACAACATACAAACTCGCAAAGTTGGCAATATAGGATCCAATTTCAGATTCTCGGCTTTACTCTTGTGAGTCTTCAGAACATCATCCACATTTTAATGTCAAAGTTACTAAACAAAACTTGAATTGGGGGATTTTTCATCCAATGCACCGTGTTTATAATGAAATCCTACCACACTTAAAAAACTGCTAGTCAACAACACCCTACTAAAAAGTGATAAAAGACCGAACGACTCATCAACTGGTTATAAATACCAGATGCACGTACAGTCTACAGGGTTGACCAACCGGGCACTAGCGACAGTCTAACTGGTACTCACAAGATTCAAAGTTCAGATTAAACTGCCATGGCAGGTTCATTATCGATTGGTTGCGCCGAAAAGCAGTGGGCCAAGGCGAATGGAAACTTGAAAAGTCGACGGGTTATAATACCCGGTTGTTGAGCCGGCCTGACGAATCAGTAATGGCTTCGATCGCCTTGTCAGCTCTGAACGGTTGGACGTGGCAATGCAGCAGGCAGCTTGATTTGTGGGGTTGGCTAACGACCAACGATTAGCCTAAACGCCGTCCTTCATGCCAGGCTTTTAATCAACGGGCATGGCATGTTCGGATTCAGCATAAATATATTCGGCGGATATAGACGTGTAATCTTTCTGTCAAGAATTAATCATCTATTAAAAGTGACTGCAGCCCATTTTGGTTAATTTATTTGCAGCGGAAATGCGCATCGGTTTCGAAGCTCCAATAGATGCTTATATCTTCTACTAGTTGGTGTCTTGGTGACATGATTGCTGAGAACACAGCTTGTGTTTGTGAGTTTTGTCAAACTTAAAATCTGTCGCCTCCATCTGTTTGAGAAGAATTTGAGACGTTCGTAGAGATATATACGTAAAATATTCTTTTAGACTACTAGCAGATTACTTACTTCTGAACTCAAGTACAAGGGCAAAGAATCAGTGAATGCGTATTTCGTCTATTTGCACTAACAATGATAAAGAACAGCAACGAGAAATGGTGAACATTTTCGTTATGATGAAGAGAGGCAAAAGCAGTGCTGCTCTCTGAGGTGAGGTGTACATGATTGACTTACACTTGGGTGCCTCGCATCGAAACGGTTTGCTTATCGTCTACACTCTACAGCCTGCCGCCTAAACTTCCATTTATTCGATGATTCAGACAAAAAATTAACTCGTAACTCCTTTTTTTCATATTTTTTAGTCCCTCACGTATATAGGGGGCAGACCCAGCGCCAGAGGCTCCCACATGTGAGTGGGTGTCTTGGGAAGGGATAAACCGAGACAAGCCTTTTTCCCGTAAAATCTGCGGAAAAGCTGCTTCGAATCCACGACCTAGTGATTCAAGTGAGACATCTCTCACCGCTGCACCAGGGCCTGCCCTTCTTAGTCCCTCACTTATATGTAGACAAAAAAACCAGTATTCATCTTCATCTATTATTCTCAAGATATATATAACTGTATCGATTTTCATCCATGTTTGCTCGAGAAGAAACAATGAAAACTATGGCTTTTTTACTACTCCTTCTGTACGAAATTGTAAATCGTTATGACTTTTCTAGTACATAATTTTTACAGTGCAAAACTGCAAATTATGTAGTTAGAATGACTCAAAATTATAACGAAAGCATAAGAGTACACATAGATTTAATATATACAGCGAGTAGTCTTTAGTAATCTAGAATTTCCATTTAGCTTCTCAAGCCAAGGTACATGAGTTCGAGAAGCGGATGGAAAATCACACTGGTAATTAACGAGAGGTAGTATATATGAAAATAGTCCGCAGCTGACAGAACTGCAGAAGAAAATAAAAAAGGCTAGGTATATTTTTGAACATATATAATCCACAGTTGACGGCACTGTAGAACAACTTCAGGTTGGCTAGCTCGTGAACCATGCGAACTTTTTTGTCCGTCGAACTTCTTTGATCGGCATGAGCCAGGCAGCCAGCACACTAGGTAGTGTCTACTGTCTAGTTGTGCTTCCCCTGGGTATAGATGTAGTCGGTGTGAGCGACCAACGTCCTCCTCATCAGGCACTCCTCCCGTTCGTCTCCGTCGTCCTCACATTCTCTCATTTCCTCCGGCTCATCTTGATGCATTTCCACCCCGGCCGCTGAGCCACTCTTCTCATGGCCAGCAACACCGGCGGCGGAGACAGCGCGCTGCAAGTAGCACAAGGGAAGATTAATGTAATGACCAGTAATGGCGGCAAATCTCGTCGCGCAGCAGAAATTAAGAACAAAACATGAACTGCCGAATGGATACCTGTGGCATGTGGTCCTTTGATCCAGGTTCCGGCCTTGCTGCTTGCCCCATAGTAGTGCAGATGCAGATGAGGAGGAGCAGAGCTGCTACCACAAGGAGACTAGACTTCAGCTGCTTGGAGCCGGAGGCCATCTCTGTAGGTCTCTCTTTCTTTCTATCTCGTCTCTACCTGATGAGTGATGATGTTAAGTAGAGCTGTTGTGTTATTCGGTGAGGATGAGCATTGAGCTGCAGCATGGGAGCTAGATAGTATTCCTATTTATAAAGAGCGGCCACATGGGCAGGGCTCACCGTCCACGCCGGAAACGACGGGCCACAGGATGAGACAACGACCACCGTAATGCAGCGCAACAGCGATGCGATGCCGATGCTGCCGTAGCCGGAAGGTATTTTTCTCGGCCTCTGTGTTCGCCGGGACCCTCCGATCATGACTCATGACGCGTAGCAAACGCTTGTGCGCGCTGGAATCTTCCTGTCTTCTTCAACCACAGCAAACCGGTGCACGCGGAAGATGTTCGCTGGTTAGTTTCTGGGCTGATAAGCTCGGCTGACGCTGGTTCGTTGTGAGAGAAAAACACTTTTGGCTGACTGATAAGTTCTGGCTGAAACTAACCGAACCGGCTGTTTTTTTTTTGTCCAGTAGTATTTGAAAACTGCAATCGCTGGTGTTCAGTGTTCACACTTGGTACTCCGTGTCCGTAAGTACTTTGGCTGCAGATCGATCAGGATTCAGGAGTAATGTCGAATCGACTGTGGTCTGTGGGTTCGTCTACTCTGCTGGAGTACGTACTCGAGCTGAGAAGAGAGGTGGACGACTTGCTCGGCATGCTGACTGCACGTGTCGACCAGCGCTTCCAGATGGTCTTGGTCGACGGGGCCACTGACTGCGTGCTCGTGCGTCCGTCGTCTCGGCGACGTACCGCCGGTCACCTTTTTCAGCACCGCACCTGATGGTCGCCGTCGACCCGTCGTTGGGTTGGGGCCTGTAGTCGTCGGTACCGTCTCACGCATGGAACATGACGATGAATGAATCGATCTCACACCGCCTGCTGGTGTACGAGACATCGATCGGCAGGCAACCAACCCCTACGGCTCCCTCGCGCCGAGGCAACACCACCGCACCAAAGGCATATTTGCCGGCGCGGGCAGGTCACGTACGACATCTCGGCGACGGCGACGAGCACGTGGGCACGGCAAGTTGGCGCTTGCGGCTTGCATTGCACGCATGGCCAGATCGTCCCGCGCCGGCGCGGCGCGATGCGCTAGTGGGCCGCGCTGGCTAGTGGCTAGCGTGCTCGGCGCGAGTGCACTCAACAATCGACGGACGATCGTCTCTATTCGCCGTCGTGCAAGTGCAACTAGGAGGAGTTTCAAGTGGCCGCGATGCATGGGAGAACCGAGAACGCTACTGTACGACGTGAATCTCATCTAGTACTCCTACTCCTATTGAAGTGTGAACACAGGCAAGCCAGGGCCTTTATGCCAGCATTGATGCGTGGGCAAAACAGTTAATGCCCAGGAGGAATGTCCGGGCAACTAGTTCGGACGCTTGTTTGGCAGAGCTCCTGCGGGCTCCGGCTCCCAAAACGAGCTCCGCCTGGGTTTGTGAGAGAGTAAAGAGGAGAGAGAAAAACGGCTTCGGCTCCCTGTCGGCCCGTGGGCAGAGGAGAGAGAAAAACGGCTCCAGCTCTCTGTCGGCCTGCCAAACAGGTCCAAGTTGCCATCTGCTAAGGCCTTGTTTAGTTTCCAACCAAATTCCCAACAGTAGCTATCACATCGAATCTTGCGATACGTGCATGGAGCATTAAATGTAGACGAAAAAAAACTAACTGCACAGTTTATTGGGAAATTACGAGACAAACGTTTTGAGCCTAATTAATTCATAATTAAACACTAATTACCAAATAAAAACGAAAGGGCTATAATAGCCAAATTCCTAAAATTCACGAACCAAACACAGCCTAAGTGCCAACATGCATGGCTTGTGAGACTCTGAGCTGTGAAGTTGTGACCCTGACAGCTGACTTGGGATTTGGTGTGGATCGTCGCTATCCGCGTACGCGGGCATGGGCCGTATTATTTTGGCCCAGTACAGATTGGAAGCTGAGTTCAAGTGGCTTGGATCCACCAAGAGGCCTAGTTTCGAGCAGTTCTCCGTTCGTCCGCCGGCGGCCCAATGCCTCCCTCCGTCCGTTCCTGGCCGCCGGGCTTCTTCTCCGTCGCCGGCTACGCGCTTGAGGAGGGAGGAGGAGCCGCAGCGCGTGGATCCAGGGGTAGCAGCAGCAGCGTCCATCCCGCGTGAGAAGGGAGAAGGAGCCGGTGAGATCTACTTTTTTCCAGCTCCTCCGTCTCTCGCAGCTCTCTCTCAGCGCGTTTTCCGGAGATTCGTCGGTGGAGCTGGTTGCTGTGAACCCGTTTGGTAGCGAGGTGCCCAAAACAGCTCCTGAAGCTGCTCAAGAATCGTTACCGAACGGGGCCATTTTCCTCGCAGCGCCGGCGCTCCATCTTCCGCTCCCTCCCCCACTCGCGTTCGGCACGCATGCGACGGCGGCGGCGCTCAGGCTCGGGCTCTCAGCGACGGCGGGGCAGTCCCATGCTCGGCGGCGTCGTCAGCGGCTCGCCCTCCCGCCTCTCGCCAGTCGCCTCGCCTCCGGTCCTCCGCACACCGGCCGGCGACCTTGCGTGCGCGCCTCCCTCTCCCCTCCCGCCTCCGGTGGACCGTCGACGGCGCCCGGCCCCGGCGGCTGCGCTGCGCACCGCGCGCCACGCGCGGCCGGCGGGCAGCGGGAGCCAGCAGCCGCTGCTCCACCAAGGGCTGTCGCACCGCTTTGGGAGTGATTATGCCCCAAAGCGAAGCGTTACCTGTCCGCTTAGCGCTGAAGCGCGCTGAAGCGTGCGCTTAGTGCCGCTTTTTGGAACCCTGCTCCTAGATGAACTATCCGGTACCACTAATTTCTGTATTTCCAGAATTCATCTTTACTGCTACGTTTTCTGTCTGCAGACTTGGAGCAAGCCTCTCAACATGTCGTGGGCCGCAATCGAGAATGATCCTGGTAAATTTACTTTCTGTTGCCAAAAAACTATATATTTGTTTAGTTATTATACACTGCAAGTTTTTTTTTTTTTTAAACACGTTCCAAGTATGGCACAATGATACGGGTTCATCATTGGGCCTGATTGAGCGATTGGCCTTCTTTAACCAATTGCTCTTAAAAGAAAATTCGACTCTAGGACTACGTGCATTTTGTATAGAGGACCCATACCAGTCATGTTGACTGATGATTGCCTAATGTCATTTTATTTTCATTGGATTTTGATACCATTGTTTGGACCAACCTGCATTAGCAGTGTTTCATACTGTATTACAAAGATAAGCTTTTCATAACAGTACATGCGAGTTGCAACCCGCTTTAGTAAGGTTGGAAAATTGAGATGTATATATATGTCTGCTTGCATTCACCTGTTGCACCTTAGGAAGAGCGCCCATGTCTTTTAGGACACTGCCTCAAAGTAATACAATGGTAATTCTCAAATTCGAATTCACAGAATTTCTGCCTTTTTTATTTTGTGTCGTCCCAGAGTAACACAATAGTCATTCTCAATTTACAGTTCCATGTATTGCTGCCTTTTCATATTGAGCTGTGACAAGAAACTCCTGTCTTTGGCATTTGCAATGGAGTGGGAGGAAAACAAAATTCTAGAACCTAGACCTCTCGTCCTCCATATATTTGAACTGGCCTACACTGTTAATTTCTTTCTCACCTTGTAACTGTTTGGTCGTTTTGTTCTGGCAAAGGAAGAAATAACTCATGAGCTTTCATATCTTGTATATTCAGGTGTTTTTACAGAACTGTTGCAGCAGATGCAACTGAAGGGTCTTCAAGTAATCAACTACCCTCACTCAATGAGTCTATGTTTCTTGATAAAGGTAGATGGTTAGCAAACAGTCACCCTCACCTTTTAACTTATATACGTAAGATTGGCAGTAAGTTGAATTTGATACATGTTTATACCTTACCGAAGTGAGCATACATTGCATCTTTTCTTGTTAATGGAATGAATTGTGTGCAATTATCCACACAGGTAACCAAGAATATCTGGCAACGTTTTGCTTGTTTAATACTTTCATTACTTTGTGACAGACGTTGCCTGATATAATTCGTGATGATTGTATGATAAAACAGCCATTGTGAGTTGTTAAGGTCCTTTTAAACATATAAATGGCAATCAGATTAGTTTAGCCTAGCTCTTTAGGCTGCCTGAACCATGTAAGTGGCTTTTTACAAGACCACAGCAGCCTTTATTTAAAACATGCTGTAATCTAAGCATACTTAAATAGTAAAACAGTGACAGGTGTTTCCTCTTCATCTATTGATCCCTGTAGCTTGTTCTTGTACTTTTCAAGCTTTTAGTGGTTTCTAATAATAAAACTACATATAGTATGCAGCAACATAGAACAGAAATTTACATTTTGCAAAACAAGAGTGAGGCTCTCCTATTTGGCTATTTCTTCTTTTTTTGTGAAACTTGACATTTCTTTTACATATTAAAAAATCGGGCAGATATGCTATGTTATATTTTTCATTACCAGGTTGATGAACTCTACTCACTTGACCTGGATGCTCTCAATGATCTTCAGTATGTTATCCTACATCTAGCATTAATGTGAATGCCATTATTTTTCTGAGTTAACAGAACCTAATTTGTGTTGGCATTTGCCAGGCCAATATATGGGCTAATAGTGCTATACAAATGGCGACCTCCAGAAAAGGATGACCGTCCTGTCATCAAGGATGCAATCCCAAACCTTTTCTTTGCCAACCAGGTCAGAAGCATTCGAGTTGGCAAGCAACTTGCCTTTATTCATTTGCATATCTTAAAATCAAGGATGTTCTTCATTTGCAGATAATTAACAATGCGTGTGCAACCCAAGCTATCCTTTTGGTTCTCTTGAACTCTCCTGGCATCACCCTTAGTGATGAACTTAAAAAGCTGAAGGAATTTGCAAAGGATTTGCCACCTGAGCTCAAAGGATTGGCTATAGTCAATTGTGCAAGCATTCGCATGCTAAACAACTCGTTTGCAAGGTCAGAGGTCTCTGAGGAGCAGAAACCACCTAGCAAGGATGATGATGTATATCATTTCATAAGCTATGTTCCAGTGGATGGCGTCCTGTACGAGCTTGATGGGCTAAAGGGAGGACCAATAAATAAGCCTGGGAAAATGCTCAGGTGGTGTTGGTGATGCAGGGTGGCTTAGGCTAGCGCAGCCTGTGATTAAAGAGCACATTGACCTGTTCTCTCAGAATGAGATAAGATTCAGTGTGATGGCAATCTTAAAGAACCAGAAGGAGATGTACACGGTGGAGCTCAAAGACCTCCAGAGGAAGAGGGAGAGCCTCTTGCAACAGATGGGCGATCCTTCTGCGATTAGGCACGTGCCATCTGTTGAGCTGTCACTGGCGGAGGTGGCAGCTCAGATTGAGTCTGTGACGGAGAAGATCATAATGGAGGAAGAGAAGATGAAGAAGTGGAAGACGGAGAACTTGAGGAGAAAGCATAACTACGTGCCATTCCTGTTCAATTTCCTCAAGATTCTTGAGGAGAAGCAGCAGTTGAAGCCCCCTGAGAGAGAAGGCAAAGGCGAAGCAGAAGTCTCACGGCCCAGTCCTAGGTGAAAGCTGCAATGCACCTACTGTCTCTTTTAGTTGGGGGTTCCTTGTAGAGATGGCCCTGTGTCCCTTGTTTTCTTGGCCAGTGTTTGAACCTTATGCTTACCCTTAGTTTTAGGTAGCGCACAAATGTCTGTCGTTACATATTCAGGTGAATGAATCTTGACATGGCGAGTTCCCTGTGGACTGTATGCAGTCATACTGTACGAAAAGCATGCATGGTTTACCCAGTTATTTTCCTGGCAAACTAATGGTGTCGTTTGCTGACACATGTCAAGCCTTGTTTGTTTCTGAAACGTAGAGGATGACGCAATCACGAACATGTCCACTCTTCCAATTTGCCCTAGTCTCCTTCGGCAGCGCATCATACGATTTGTTTCACACGACCCATAAGTTCGCCGGAAATTGGAGTCTGTATATATGTGCTTTCCTGGAACAAAGCAGATCTATTTAACCTGTAGCCCATAAGTCTGTTGTGAAACGTTCAACCGCACCACCGGAAGTAGCGGTCAATGCTTAGGAGCCTTCCAAAGTTCCCTTTTTGACTAATATAGTATATATAATAATAGGGCGCGCACCATCGCGCGCATAGGCAAATTATGACTCAAGTGTAAATGTTTAGTTGTGCAATACAGGCATGAAACTGAACTGTTCATGGATTTAGTATATCAGAAATTGAAGACGTACGAAACAGTATTGGAACCTTTATTGATACCTGCCTATATAGTCACAACAAATTACTGCAGTGAAGAAAAATGAACTGATTTACATAGAAGAACCTCCAGAACAGTAGACAAAATCCCTTTCATTTGCTAGGACATACGCAAATCCGCGTACTTGCTGCATAACAGCATGAGTAGTAAGCACGTTGCGATCCTGCATCGTTCTTTCTGAAGAAAGGTCAGTACTGCTTTGAGAAGTCTGGATGCACGTATACGACAGGGTCACACAATTGGCAGCCACGCGCCACAGCGCCAGCATATCCCGCACAGTTCCCCGTGAGACTGGGGCCTGAGACCCCTTGGCCGTGCAGTGTCCACCATGGACACTGGCAGCCGACGCAGAACGGCGCACCGCGACAGAGTGCACAGGCAAGCAGTACGCGCGGAGGAGCTGCGGCCGCACACCACATGCATGCTACCAGGAGTACAGGACGAGATCATGGACCGTGACCAAGGCAAAGCACGAGAGTCTCCTGTACGATCGACGACGCACGCGGCACGCATGATTCTTTCCCTTTTCACTTTCTGCATGCGCACCTGCGGACGCAGCGTACGAGCAGGCGGTGCGCGGCCGCGGCGGCCCGGGCGCAGTCACGGGCCGACGGGCGCGTGTGGTGCGCGCCGTGCCCACGTGACCGCGCGCCGTCGCTGTCAGCCGCCGGTGCGTGCGACGCTGTGGGGCGTGTGCGATGCGCGAGGTGTTGTGCGTGGTGAGCAAGAGAAGCTGTTGGAGTCCTGCAGTTGCAGGTGGATGATGACTCGAGCGTATGCAGGTACTGAAATCGATCCCGGGTCCGGGAGATGTAAGGCTACCTGCATGGTAGTGTTTTTTTCACCTCTCAGAGTGTACTTTAGCAACATTTTGATGTGTTCATTTATCATCACGCGTTGCCAGTCTACTCATACGGAAAGTGCCAGTTATTTCAATTTGTGGGATTACAAGAAGCGGTTTCATCGAGTCAGTATAGGATAGAGGTTGTGCAGGCACAGGTTAGTCAGTCTGTCAGTGGCTGGTGGGTCTCCCCAACGTCATGCTTTGGCCTGTAGCCGTAGAATCGGATAGAAAAAGTGGTACTTTATACTTGTTACGGTGGTTCACAGAAGCTACGTACGTTTAGGAGAGAAGATGGTCCATGTTAAAAATGTTTAGGAGAGTAGGTGGTCCATGTTAAAAAAAATAGAGGGTATATTTGTATTAGCATCAGCCTCCGTTGGTTCGTGGGTCTCATACTCATATATCCACTCAACTCGAAAACGCCCGCTGCATGAACTCGTCTCGCCCGCGGCCGATCTCCTCCATCCGCTCGTCGGAGAGGAGACTGCGCTCGGTCGAGCACCACCTGGGGCCTAGCGTCCTCGCGACCAGCTCCGGCGCGGCGTCCGCCCTCTGCAGCCCCGGTGTCCCCGCGACCGTCGCTGCTGTCCTACTTCGCACTCGCCACCTTGGCCGGCGACGAGCACCACCAGGTATTCCCTCCCCTTGGTACTCCCTTCCTGCTGCGCGAAGCCGTGCGCCCAAACCCTAACATACTATTCGTAATCGGATCTGAATCTAATTACAGGTGTATATGCATGTATTATGACGACTAACTTCGATTGCTTTGCAAAAATTATTGGGTGTACATGTGTACACCCATGTCGTTTACTGGGTCCGCCCCTGATCTGAGAGCCTACCAAGGACGAATGCAGTTTATTTTCCATGATTTTTAGGACGAATGCAGTTTATTTTCCATGATTTTTAGGGTTCAGTTGAATCCCTGTGCCCCCTAATTCAGTTTCATCCCCCTGGTGTCTTTTGATGACTCGTTAGTCGGAACTTACTGTGAAAAGAAAAATCATTCAGCAGTATAGATGGGGTTTCTATGTTGTGACTTGCTTTGTGCTGACGTCTTATGTGTGGCAATTGTCCAGTTTCTTCAGTTTGTCAAGTGATAGGCTGAAGTTTGTATATCATTGTTTTCTGCTTGGATTTCTCTGATACGTGCTATCACTTGCTCCTTCGTTTTTATGCAACTCACTGTATACTCTGAGCTGTGTAAATGATTTAACACCATCCTAAGGTTGAGGCACACAACTTTCTGGAAAGGTGCTTCATGCATGATAATTCCCCTTGTGCCTCACGATCATATTTTTCATAGATCATTAATGCCTTAGTGGTTCTGGTTTCATGATCTTAACAGTCCACTCTGTATAGTATTATTTCTGTTGAGACGATTAGTTTCTAAGTGACTAATTTGGTGATTTTGTGATACTTGATAGGGTATAAGCTGCCAGTGCTTGTGGAATGGAAGAGCTACAGAAGGATAGTGGGCAACCATCAAATGGCTCTGATTCTGAACCAGAAGCTATGGTATTGGATGACAATGGAGCGGGAAAATCCCATAGCATGGATGGAAACAGGGATTCTCCTATAGATGTCGATGAAGGCCAGTCATCTATGGATGTGGATATTAAGGGAAAATCATGCCTCAATGATGATGTTAATGGAAAGTCTTCTTCTGAGCCATATTCCAATGCTCCAATTGACATGAGTGTGGAAAGCCTAGAGAAGTTTTGCAAAGAAGCGTCAAGGTCCTTCTTTGATGAAGTTGGTCTGATTAGCCATCAAATAAATTCCTACAATGAGTTTGTCTCGCATGGGCTCCAGGAGCTTTTTGATTCGCTGGGGGAAGTGATTGTTGAACCTGGCTATGATCCTTCAAAGAAAGGATCAGGTGGCTGGAAGCATGCCATCATCAATTTTGGGAGAGTGAAGCTTGAAAAGCCTGTGTTTTGGACTGGCAAGGATGAAGGTTCTGTTGATTTTAAACCTTAGCATGCTCGTCTCCAGAATATGAAATATGCTTCGAGACTTATAGTAGAAGTGAATATTCAGGTCCTGACTATTTTCATTCTTTTACATGCCCATTACTTGTTCTTTATATATGCCATGGTTTTCCCAAGAAGACGTGCCACCTGGGTGAACTATAAAATCAGTGACGAGGAAAAAAAGTTTACAAAAATGCTTGAATATGAATGGCATGACCCCATATTATTTATTGTAAACAATGCAAGATTCAGTCCTTTTCTTATAAGCTAAACCCATAAACCAATGCCTTGGCCACCGAGCAATATTGATGTGCCTGCATTTCATTTGCTTGAATTTCCTTGGCACCCTAATCAGTAATCAGTATAGCATAGTTCTAAATGATTGAATATTAAATAAAGCAGCCTAGGACTGGGTGGGTGATTGGTGTTTTGAGGACATCCCATCAGTCATCAGCACTATAGTTATTCTTGTTTTCTCCATTTGCTGGATTCCATTTGAAGAGTCTATTACATTTACTTATTCCTTATGTATGATGAAGCTGGAGACATGTAATCACCTTGGTACTTGTTTTGGTGTCATAATGTTACTCCCATTTGCTTAGGTTTTATGGTCACCTGATTATCTGTGGGTTATTTTTCATTGTACCAGGTTTATTCTTTGGAGAAAAGTGACAAATCTAAAACAGGAAATGATGGTTTTGTTCAAAAAAGGGACTTCATGAATGAAACTCATTGGATATTTAATGGCCTCCTTCCGGTTATGGTGAAATCAAACTTATGTTTGTTGCATAGTCTCAAGGAAAGTGAGTGCCTGTTCGATGCAGGTGGATACTTTTTGGTCAAGGGAATGGAGAAGGTATAACTCTGTGAGCTCTGTTGTTAATGTATTATGTAGGATGATTTAATTATCAACTTTCAAGTGTCCTTTTGTTGCTGGTATGGGACTATAGGGCTGTGAACTTTCTTAGAGCCCAGTCAGCAAAATTGTGTAATGTGCATTACTGGTAGCTCATAAGAGGGAGAAAATGTCCAAATATGATTATAGCTATATAAACACAGCATTCTATCGTATCGAAGAAAACTTTGGTACAACAGTCATTTGAGTTGGTCTCCTCCTGGTGCCATATGCTAGCTTCTTGTGTTTAAGCTATATATAGGTCTAAACCTATGCAGCCGTGTATCAGTATCGGGCGGATATGGATGCACGGATACGGCATTTGTCTAAAAAATTGGATACACAGGTACGTTTTATGATTTTTAATTAAATAAATAATAAAACATTAAATTATAAAAGCAATAGCAGCCAAAAGAAAGTTTGAGTGTTCGACATTACCCTACAATATTGGTGTTTTCCTCTTTTCCAATTTTTGAATCAACCAAAAGTCAAGATAAGCATCTCAGTTCACTAATTTTTCAAATAAAAAAGTTCATAAATCACTGTAGTAAAACATAGAAGTTCAATGTATGAGCTCTGGCCTTGGTCATTGGCATAGAAGTATAGAACGAAGCACTAGCACTAGTACTACTCGAATTTGTTGGTGATGCCATTTGCCATCTTGTTGCGGCTGGGAAAAATCGTGGACAAAACACAACAGAGTGCGCTAGAGTGCGCTAGATCAGGAAGGGGAACAAGGAAAATCAGCAGAGGTCAAGAACTGAATAACATGACTAAATTGAGAATGGAAAACCAACAAGAGGGTTGTCGTTGGCTCGTTGCTAGGGGCCTGCTGTGAGGTGGGGGTGATAGATAAGCCTAGTGTTAAAGCACTTGTATCTTATTTTTCTACATTTTTGCTTTCCTTGGCTTTCAAGCCTAGTATTAGGAATATGCTTAACATCCACTTTAGTGGTTGGAATATGCTGGAGCAAGTGGGGAGGCCCTCTGCCTATAAAAGCAGGGCAGTGTCATTGTAAAAACTAAGCCATTGCATTTCCATTCAATCCAAGCGGCCAAGACCAAGCTGCTCTCTGGTAGTTCTCAAATCTGAATCTGAGATCTAATCGGGCCAACAATTGGTATCGGAACCTTAGGGTTCTAGGTGAGCCGCCATGTCCACCGCTAGCCAGATAGCGAGAGCGTGCGCCGCCGCCGGGGCCGCCGGTGACGCAGCAGGAGCCGGAGCCGACGATCGCGCGACGTGCCTTGCGGCCGCAGAGGCAGTGGCTGCGGCGGCGGCCGAGACGGCTAGGCAGGCAGAGGCTGCGGCTCAGGCCGCGGTGGCTGCAGTTGCAACGCTGCGTGCCGAGATGGAGCGGGAGCCGGAGCCAGCCGGAGGATCGCGCAGCCCAGCCGGGCGCCGTCGCCAGTCGCCGTCACCCGAGCGGCGTTGTGGGCGTCGCGGCCGTTCCCCGGTGTTGCAGACGATCTACCGCGACTCCGGAGCGGGAACGCCGTGGCCGATGCTCACCAAGTCACACTACCACGAGTGGAGCCTTTTGATGAAGGTAAAGCTGCAGGCTCGGCATCTCTGGGAGGCGATCCACGTCGGCGGCATCGGCTACGACGACGATCGCCGAGCACTGGAGGCGCTGTGCGCTGCCGTCCCCACCGAGCTCGGCGCCTCCCTCGCCAACAAGGCTACGGCGAAGCTGGCATGGGAGTCGATCGCCGCGGCGCACATCGGCGGTGATCGTGTCCGCCGGGCAACTCTGTAGCGGCTCCGGCAAGAGTGGGAAGGCCTCGCCTTTCAGCACGGTGAGCAAGTTGAGGACTTTGCCCTCCGCCTGACCAATCTGATGGAGCAGATGGCGCGCAATGGCGACACCGACCTCACAGAGGAGCGTGCGGTGGAGAAATTCCTCCGTTGCATGCCGAAGAAGTACTCCTAGATCGTGGCGGCCAGGCTCACGTCGCGCAAGCGGAGGATGCTGCTGCTGCTCTGTTCCTGGTGCACGGTTGCGTCGAGCTGCAGCAAGAATCAGGGGAGGGGGAGAAAGGCCCAAACTTTCCCCTTCCCTTGTCGGCTGGCTCCGCCCTGCTCCACCTCGACGAGGCACGCGCCCACGTCTTCCTCGGCAAAGGTGCCGATGACGACAAGATCGACGGCCGGTACCTCGACACCGGCGCTACGCACCACATGACTGGTCGGCGCGAGTTCTTCTCCGACTTGGACTCCAACGTGAAAGGCTCCATCAAGTTCGGCGATGCCTCCGCCGTCGAGATCAAGGGGGTCGACTCGATCATCTTCAAGGCCAAGACGCGGGAGCACCGTCTTCTCACCGGCGTGTACTACATCTCGGCCTTGAGGAACTCCATCATCAGCGTCGGGCAGCTGGAGGAGAACGGCTCGCGGGTGGAGATGGAGGACGGCGTGCTGCGCATCTGGGATAGAAGCCGCCGTCTTCTCGCCAAGGTGAACCGGGGAAGCAACCGCCTTTATGTGCTTCATGTGCAGGTGGCGCATCCCCTCTACCTTGCCGTGCGCCGGGACGACGAGGCATGGCGCTGGCATGAGCGTTTCGGGCACCTTCACTTCGAGGCCCTGAAACAGCTTGGCAAGGAGGAGATGGTTCGCGGGATGCCTTGCGTCGACCACATCGAGCAGCTTTGTGACACCTACGTGGTGACCCCAAGCAGAAGCGCACGGACAACGGCGACGAGTTCTCGGCGGCTGAGTTCGCGGTGTACTGCGCCGACGAGGGGGTTCATTGCCACTACTCCGCGCCCTACTCACCGCAGCAGAACGGCGTGGTGGAGCGCCGAAATCAGACGGTGGTGGCAACAGCGCGCGCTACTCAAGCAGCGCGGCATGCCGACGATCTACTGGGGCGAGGCCGTAATGACTGCCGTACACCTGCTCAACCGCTCGCCGACCAGGGCACTTGACGGCAAGACGCCGTATGGGGCTGGGCATGGGCGCAAGCCAGCGGTCAGCTACCTGCGCGTCTTCGGCTGCCTCGCCTTCATCAAGGAGTTGAACCACATCGGCAAGCTCGGCGACCGCAGTTCGCCTGGAGTCTTCATCGGCTACGCAAAGGGGCTAAGGCCTACCGCGTGCTCGACCCGGCGCGTGCGCGTGGCACGCGACGTTGTGTTCGATGAAGGATGCGGCTGGGCATGGGACAAGGCGGTGGACGACGTTTCGGCGGCAGTGCTCCGCGACTTCACCGTCGAGTCTGCTTGGGTTGCAGGTGCAGGGGGAGCACTAGGTGCATCTCTGTCGACGTCTGGGTCTTCATCACCGGCGCTGACCACCTCATCTACTCCGCCGCGCACACCGTCACCAAATCCGGGGGAGCTCGGAAGCTCATCGGCGCAGGTCGGCAGCTCATCGGCTGCGGCGCGGACCACCTCGGCATTGGAGCGGACCCGTCCGGCACCGCAGCAGACCACTCCGGCACCTCTACCGACCAGCTCGGCACCTCAGCAGACCACTGCAGCATCTCCTGCCTCGCTCGCTGCGACACCAGTGCATGCAGGGCAGCCAAAGATCGAGTACGCAACGCCACTGGAGGATGATGAAGACCGCCTGGACGCCTACTACGACAATGAGCCTCTGCGATACCGCACGGTGGCGAACATCCTCGGCGACTAGTCTTCACCGGACCAGGCAGAGCGGTTCTTCGCCCAACTTCATTTGACGCATGCCGGTGAGCCGAGCACTTATGCCGAGGCGCAGGGTGATCCGGCGTGGCGGGTAGCGATGGAGCAGGACCTCAAGTCCGTCGAGCAGAACCGCACCTAGGAGCTGGTGCCACTGCCTAACGGCCACCGCCCCATCACCCTTAAGTGGGTGTTCAAGCTCAAGAAGGATGAGCAGGGCGCGGTGATCAAGCACAAGGCACGACTGGTGGCGCGCGGCTTCGTCCAGCAGGAGGGGATCGACTTTGACGACGCCCTGTGGCGCGAGTGGAGTCTGTCCGTGTCCTCGCGTTGGCGGCTCAAGAGGGGTGGCAAGTCCACCACATGGACGTCAAGTCCGCCTTTCTCAGCGGCGACCTAAAGGAGGAGGTGTACGTGTGCCAACCACTAGGATTTGCCGTCGCCGGAGAAGGTAAGGTGTACCGCCTACGCAAGGCCCTCTACGGTCTGCGGCAAGCCCTGCACGCCTGGAACGCGAAGCTCGACGCCACGCTGAAGAAGATGGGCTTCAAGCAAAGTGCGCATGAGGCGGCGGTGTACGGTGTACCGGCGGGGCAGCGGACGCAATGTCCTACTGGTCGGCGTCTACGTCGACGACCTCATCATCACTGACGCTGAAGAGCAGAAGGTGGAAGCGTTCAAGGCACAGATGAAGAAGGCATTTGACATGAGCGACCTCGGCCTCCTCTACTTCTACCTCGGCGTCGAAGTGCGCCAGGACGCCAACGGGATCACCCTCCGCCAAACCCACTACGCCAAGCGCATCCTCGAGCTCGGCGGCATGACAGGCTGCAACCCGGCCTGCACCCTGATGGAGGAGAATCTCAAGCTGAGTCGGGACAGCACGGCGGAGGTCGATCCAATCCATTACCAGCGGCTGATCGGGAGCTTGCGCTACCTGGTTCATGCTCGTCCGGACCTGGCATTCGCCGTCGGGTATGTGAGCCGGTTCATGGAGCGGCCCACGATGGAGCATCTGCAGGCCGTCAAACGCATCCTTCACTACGTGGCGGGCACGCTAGACTACGGCCTCCAGTACGCCAGGGCCCCTGACATGGCGCGCTTCGTCGGCTACTGCGACAGCAACCTCGCCGGCGATGTGGACACCTGCAAGAGCACAACCGGGACGATGTTCTTCCTCGGTGATTGCTTGGTCAGCTGGCAGTCCCTCAAGCAGAAGGTGGTGGCCCTCTCAAGCTGTGAAGCGAAGTACATTGCCACCACCACTGTAGCAACTCAGGCACTATGGTTGTCAAGGATGCTGGCAGAGCTCCTTGGCAGGAAGGTGGATGTGGTTGAGCTGAAGGTGGACAGCAAGTCTGCTCTAGCTCTGGCCAAGAACCCAGTCTTCCATGAAAGAAGCAAGCACATCCGCATCAAGTATCACTTCATCAGGGACTGCTTGGATGATGGGAGCATCAAGGCCAGTCACATTGCCACTACTGATTAGCTGGCCGACATTCTCACCAAGTCGCTGGGGAAGTCCAAGTTCCAAGAGATGAGGGAGAGGATTGGGCTATAACAGATCACCTCTAGTGCTCGGCACAAGGCTTAGGGGGAGAATTGATAGATAAGCCTAGTGCTAAAGCATTTGTATCTTACTTTTCTGTATTTTTACTTTCCTTGGCTTTCAAAGCCTAGTATTAGGAATATGTTCAGCATCCACTTTAGTAGTTGGAATATGCTGGAGCAAGTGGGGAGGCCCTCTGCCTATAAAAGCAGGGGCAGTGTCATTGTAAAAACTAAGCCATTGCATTTCCATTCAATTCAAGCGGCCAAGGGCCAAGCTGCCATCTGTTACTTCCCAAATCTGAATCTGAGATCCAATCGGGCCAACAGGGGGCATGGTGGAGGTTCATGGCCGACGGTCGGTGGGCTGGGGTGGTCGTCCGTGCTGCACTTGTGTGTGCTGCAACTGCGATGCGGGCATGGCGGAGCTTCTTATCTGGGCGGAGGTGCGTCACCAGTGTGGCGAAGGCTCGTCGCCAGCAGCCAGTGGGTGGGAGTGCTTGTCCGTGTTGTGTCGATGCGCCGGTGCACTGGTGTGCGGGCGGCGGCACGATGCAACGAATGAGACACAGAACAACGTGGGAGTGGATAAGGATGGAGTGTCGGAGGTTACTGGGCTAGGCCGTATTGGTGGTCTGCCCCAAATACGTATCGCCGGTGCGTATCGACATTTGGTGGATTTATTTTATTTCCAATACGCTGCCGATACGTATTGGAGTCATATCCTTCGCGTATTCGTATCGGATACGTATCTGATAAGGGATACACTGCCCCTTACAAATATCTGTGCAACACAGGTCTAAACTATGCAGCACGGATACGGATGTGTATCGATATCACAAGGATATGGATACGGCAATTTCTTGAAAAAATCCGATATGTGGATACATTTTACTATTTAAAAATAAAAAAGATGATAACACATTGAAATTGATCAAACAATAAAACATTGCAATCTACTTAAGTACTTAAGTTCTATTATTACAGAATAGCAGGTCTCAAGTCTCAACTCTCAAATTCTCAAATATAGTAGTCTCAAATATAGGAAAGTAATAAAAGGCATCCAGGCTTGCAATTCAGGCTCACATCAAGTTCCTATTTCCTCATTTGTTTCATTCTCATCCACAACATCAAGCCGCAGATCACCCAAACCAAAAGGCACAGCTTGCAATTCAGGCTCGTCAAAGGGAAGAGATCGAGGGGGAGAGGTCAGCCACTTCGAGAATGCCAATACCACCAAGTGAATCAAAAGAATCTCCTCCCACATCCCACTGTCTTATATTCATCAATTCTTCTTGAAAGATGCCTCAGTGGCGGGCAAAGAAATCAAGCAACAATAGAGTAGATCGAGAAGTGAGAACAGGGAAGGGGATGAACTCACGGCTGGAGGGTTGCTGGATCGATATCGCGGGGGCAGAGACTCGTTGCCGGTGAGAGGGACGAGGCGTGCGTCACCGCCCGAGTTTCCAGGAGGCGGCGCGAGGTTGCGGGCGTTCCAGCGTCAAGGGCTATGGCGTCAGGGGCATTTGGAGATAGCATTGCTTGTTTTTGGGCTGGGCCGTATCCAACAGGCATACGTATCGGGCCACGTAATAAAAAATCGGATACTCTGCAGATATGGGCCGCGTATCCGATACACGTTGCGAATCCTCAGCCCACGTATCCATGCAACACAGGGTCTAAATGAGCTGTAGTGTGTTGTTTAGTCATATCTTGGAGATTTTCAAAGTTCCAGTGATAATTATTTACAGGAACGCTGAGGATCTGCTGATGACATACTCAGATACCATTTCATGATTTCAGATACCCGATTATTTGCTAAGTTCATTTGGAGTTTCCTTTTGGGGTGTGACTATCTGAGTCGTAGCCTTTTACTGCAAAGAGAATGCCCTTTGAATCACATATAGTATTTTTCTTTCATCTAACTATGTTTCTATTGTTGTCATACCTGCAGGTATTCATTGCTCAAGAGCAAAGATGTCTAAAGAGGCTTTGGATTAGTGACCGTCCTTGCTGGATTATCTCGTTTATGTCTGAAATGAAGCGTAGACATATATATATTAAACTAGTTGAATCTACAAGGAATGAAGATTTCAGTGGGAGCAAAATCGTTTCCATTTCCTTTTTGTATGCGACAATGCCAGTTTGGTTGTTGTTCTTTGCACTTGGAATATCATCAGATAAGGAAGCCTTTGATGTGATAGATATGCAAGATTGCGATGCTTCTGTTATCAACACGATATCTGCAACTATCAAAGAATCTGATGAACTGTGTGAAGGCTTTCATAAATCGGATAAAGCTCGTCAATATGTTGACGAGTTGGTAAAAAGTTAGAGATTTCCTCCAGCGGAGTCCTTTGATGACTATATTGCTAGGTTTCTCTTTGCTGATATTAGTGGAAATAGAAACAAAGCACTTTTCTTAGGGTACATGGTGAAATGTCTGCTAATGGCTTTTACTGGGAAGCATAAATGTGATAATTAGGATAACTTCAGGAACAAGAGGCTGGACCTACCTGGTGAATTGCTTGGAAGGGAACTTAGGGCACATCTTAGGCTGGCAGAGAGACGGATGGTTAAGACCATTCAAAGAGATTTGAATAGTGACCGTGAGTTACAAGATCTTGAACGTTATATAGATGCATCGATTGTTACTAATGGTCTAAATCGTGCCTTTTCCCCTGGTTCTTGGTGCCATCCCTACAAAAGAGCTGAACGGTGCTCAGGAATTGTTGCGACTCTAAGGAGAACTAATCCTCTTCAAATGATGTCTGACTTGAGGAAAACCCGGCAGCGGGTTGCTTATGCTGGGAAAGCTGGTGATGCAAGATATCCGTAAGTAACTTATTTTTCATCAACCAAGTATTGCATGTCCATCTTGTGCTTTTGTATCTCCTAACATTGAGTGATTTAAAACTAAATCCCTACGTATAGGAATCCATCCTATTGGGGAAAGCTGTGTTTTATGTCCACTCCGGATGGTGAAAACTGTGGACTTCTAAAAAATCTAGCTGTTACTGCTATTGTTAGCTCAAGGGTGGTGCAGCCCTTGATTGAGAGCTTCATTTCTTCTGGAATGAGTAAGCTGAATGACATTCTGTCGGGTATCGATATTAGGGATACCCAAAGCAAGGAAGTTAGCGTCCACGCTGACTTCCTTGGATGGAGCAAGACGTATTAAAAGGTCTCACCCGACCCCTTGGGTTCGTGCTCCGTCTCGCCCGACCCCTTGGGTACGGGCTCCGTCTCGTCCGACCCCAAGGACGCGGTTTCCGTCTCGCCCGACCTCGAGGCCACGGGGGTCTCGCCCAAGGCCACAGGCTCCGTCTCGCCTGACCCCAAGGTCGCGGGCTTCGTCTCGCCCGACCCCTTGGGTTCGTGCTCCGTCTCCCCCGACCCCTTGGGTTCGCGCTCCGTCTCGCCCGACCCCAAGGCCGCGGGCTCCGTCTCGCTCGACAGGGACCCATACCGCCGCCAACCCCTCCAGGTCCAAGCGTATGAGCTTGGGTCAAAACTCTAACAACAGGGAAGAGACTGGCACGCCTCGATGTAACCCGTGGCCATGACGGGCCGTACCTGAGGGTTCACATCAAGAAACAGCGCCGGGCATGTCGGTGCTGTTCTGCCTAACCCTCGTACGAACGCTGACAGGCGCGTCAGTTCACCACGACGTCCGCTGGGACAGAATGGAACACCATGACCCGCAGATGACGCCTGTGCATGGCGCCAGTGACGAACAGGGCTGCGACGTGGAGCCGTCCCTGTTGACATCTATAGAATCGGCGAGACTCGCATGAAGGAGAAAAAAGGCCCGGCGATCCTGTAAGCTTTCGTCTATCTCTCTCGTTCTTCTTCTTTTCCTCGGCTGTAACCCGCGCTTTCCCTTCGCCTATAAAAGGAGAAGCAGGGCGCCCCATAAAAAGGGAATCCAGGGCCGCACGTGACCGAACCACGAGATAAAAACACGAGCACGACACGCACACGGCTGAGCTGCGATCGAACTCTCAGCACTCGTTCACTCCTTCCATCAGAGACTTGGGATCCTTTTCCTCTCTCGCCTGTTTGTAACATCTACTGCAAAACAAGTGCCGGTAACACGAGCAGCAGCAAACTAGACGTAAGGACATTCCGCACGAATCAGTATAAACCCTTGTCTCCTCCGAGTACACCATCCGAGCTAGACACGTAAATACAAATTTACTCGTCGGTGGTCCGAAAACACCGACAGTTGGCGCGCCAGGTAAAGGCTTTTTACACGTCTTGACGTCCACATCAGGCCACGAATGGCTAATCACTACGTCAGTTGGGTCTCGGACGCGCACGTGCGCTTTGGGAACCTGGACTTAATCATTTCGACAGAGGGAGAGTTGGCGCGAGTCCCCGCCGCCGTCCAACCTCTCCACTCCGCCGGCCTCGACGCAATCGCCGAGGCGCTCGAGGAGTTGCAGCTGCATGCACCAGAGGCCCGCACCCCCGAAGGCGACCAACTCCTCGGCTTTGATTACGAGAGCCTAGAGCGCCAGCTCGGCGCACCCCGACCGTCCCGGGAGGACCTGGGTCGCCTCACCTTCTCGTTCGCCAACGTCATGACACGGCTTACCGGAGGAGAGCCGCTCTCCCCGGAATACCTCATCCGGAGCGCCCTGACAGTGCTCCCGTTCAGTCTGCGCAACGCCGCAGAGACCGTTGGCCACCTTGTGGCGCAACGCACGCCCCCATCCCCCACGAACGACGAGTTCGTGGTGATGACTGAATGTGTCACGGAATCTTTCCACGACCTCCTCGTAGGAGAATCGGAGTCGCCCTTCAACTCTGACTCCAGCTGGGGGAGCCATCACCTCTCTCGTGAATGTTTCATGGCAGGTACCCTCGAGGGGTACGTCGAAAGAATCCACGAGGGAGAGGCTACCCCAACGAACGGCTTAGACGACGAGGTCGAGGGGGATGCAGGGGCCCCACCTCGTCTGCGGGTAGAGCAGCTGAAGGCCCAGCACCAAGAGCTCGAGGAAGCACGACTCCAGCTCGAGCCGGAACGCGCGGAGCTCGAGCGGCACGGAGACGGTGGGCGTGCGTGCGCCGTGGCCTGCGATGTGAACCGGAGGATCATCGAGGACGACGAAGCCCTCCCATACTTCACCCGAGCAAGCCAGAACATCGCTGCGGCGGCTGGGCATGGGACAAGCTCGAGCCTCTCCTTGGCTCGAAAGCTCGCCCGCTGGGGAAAGGGGAGTCGCCTCTGCTTCGTCAACACACAGACGTCGCAGAGCTGCTCCACATGGTTGAGGCACGGCAGGCCTCGCACCATCTCCGTGGCACTGAGCCGCTTCAGGGCCTCGAAGTGAAGGTGCCCGAAACGCTCGTGCCACTGCCACGCCTCGTCGTCCCGACGAGCAGGGAGACAGAGGGGTTGTGCCACCTGCACGTTAAGGACGTAGAGTCGATTTGCGCTTCTGGATACCTTGGCAAGAAGGCGACGACGACGATCCCAAATCCTCATGACTCCATCCTCAACCACCACGCGTGAGCCGTTCTCATCCAGCTGTCCTAAGCTGATGGTGGAGTTCCTCAACGCGGGGATGTAGTAGACTCCGGTGAGCAGCTTGTGCTCACCAGACACGGCGGTGAAGATGACGGAGCCTCAGACGCTAGAGTCAAGCTCGGTGAAGAACTCTCGTCGACCGGTCATGTGATGGGTGGCGCCGGTGTCGAGGCACCACCCGTCAGTCTTGTCGTTGTCGGAGCCGTCGCCGAGGAGGGCGTGTGCTTTTGGCTCGTCAAGGTGGAGGAGAGCCGCTGCGGCATGTGCCATGAACAGAGCCGGCTCCTCCTCCGCCTGTGCGATGTGGGCCTGGCCGCGTCGTTGCTGTCGACAGTCCTTGGCCCAATGGCCAAGCTGGCCGCAGTTGCGGCAGGTGTCGTCTCGTGCCGGCTTGTGCCTGCCGGCGGCGCTGCCCTGGTCGCCTCCGTGGGCATCACCCTCGGCACGTCCTTGCCCACCGGCCTGGGCGTCTCTGCGCATCTTGCGCGGCTTGCCACGCTTGCGGCCGCCTGTCGCGGAAGAAGGCTCCCCCTTCTTCCGGTCACCTTGGCTGGCAAGCCACTACTCCCGAGTGAGAAGGAGCTTCCCGCCAGTGGTGATGGGCCCCGAGAGAGACTGTGGCTCATCGCTGTCGACGACCTTGAGGCGACCTATCGCCTCCTCGATCGACATCGTGGAGAGATCCAGCAGAGACTCGATTGAGCGAGCCATCTGCTTGTACTTCTCGGGGACGCAGCGGAAGAGCTTTTCGACAGCTCTCTCCTCGCCGTAGGTGTCATCGCCGAACTGCACCATCTTCTGCAACAGAGTGTTGAGACGAAGAGCAAAGTCATCAACGTCCTCACCTGGCTTGAAGGCCAGGTTCTCCCACTCCTTGCGAAGTGCCTGCAGTGTGGACTTGTGGGTGCGGTCGCTGCCGATGCGTGCCACAGCGATGGCGTTCCAAACCTCCTTGACAGTCCGCTTGTTGGTAAGCGAGAACTGCATCTCGGGCGGGACTGCAGCGATGAGGGCATCCAGCGCCCGTCGATCTAGGTCGTAGTCGACGTCGCCATACCGGACTGCCTCCCACATGTGCCGCACCTGGAGCTTTACCCTCATTACCGCAGCCCACTCGACGTAGTTAGTCTTAGTGAGGATAGGCCACCCACCGCCGGGGCCGACGTCCTTGACGACAGCCTGGAGCCCGTGGTAACCTCGGTACCGATCCGGGGAGAGAGAGCCATGCTGCCTGTGAAGGCCGCGCTCTCCATCGACCTGCCCGCCACCGTCGCCGTGCGCGCCTCCTCCAGGAGCGCCGGCGGCACGTCCGCGCCTGTCTAGGCTGCCACCGCGCTCGTCCTGCCTCCCTTCCCAGCAGCTCGAGGTCCGCGTCGGCGCTGTCGTCAGCAGAAACGGAGCTGCTGATGCTGCCGCGCAGGGCCTCGACCTCTGCCGCCGCCGCACGCGCTGCATCCGCCTCCGCCGCTCTGGCCGCTGCCAGCCTCGACGCCCTTTCCGCCGCCGCAGCGGTCTCTGCCGCCGCTCGCTCGCGTTCCTCTGCCGCGGCAAGTTCGGCCTCCTGCCGACGCCGCGTGCTCGAGGCGACCGAGCGCTGAGACTGCCCTGCGGACATGACGCGCTACCGGGGGGCTGCTGCGTGGGGAGAGGGCTGCTTCAGACGAGCTGCTGCTCGTCCGCGCAGAGGGAAAGGAGTGAGCAGGAGCGGCCGAAGCTGCTGCTGCTCCTAGCTGGGGCTGTTGCGAGGCTGGGAAAGAAGATGAGCAGAAGATGCTCAGGCTACAGGATAATACGGCTCTGATACCAGTTGTTAGTCGCTGAATTCTTACTCTTGGTAGTAGCAGAATTCTTACTCTCATCGAGAGAGGATGACACTAGGAGTTGACAATTTTCTGGTTTATTTCTGACACAAATGTCATGCCAACCTGAGGGGTTGGGGATACATATTTATAGGCTGCTAGCCAGCCAAGCATATGCCAAGATGCTAGTCCAAGATGCTAAGATGCTGTCCTCTAAGATGCTGTCCTAGATGCTAAGATGCTGTCCTAAAAACAGACCATGCAGCCACAAAGACCATGTGACCAGCACAGCCCCACAAAGACCAGCACATGAGACTTATCCCATCAAAGATGTTCTTTATATTGTTTCTTATGTTTCTCGTTTCATCTTATTAGGTTGAAATTAAAAGGGACAAGTACCACAAGGAGGTTCGTGTTTTTTCTGATGCCGGGCGAATCCTCAGACCCCTTCTTGTGGTTGAGAACCTTAGAAAAATCAGAAAACCAAAGGGGCGCTCATTCTCTTTCCAGGAACTAATGCAACAAGAAATAATTGAGTTCATTGGTGTTGAAGAGGAGGAAGATATACAATGTGCGTGGGGAATCAGGCATTTGTTTTAGAGTGAAGGAGGGATATCTAATTATACTCACTGTGAACTGGATCCTTCCTTTCTTCTGGGATTAAGCTGTGGTATCATTCCTTTTGCAGACCATAATTTTGCTCGGAGGGTATTATACCAATCTGAAAAACACTCGCAACAAGCTATTGGTTACTCAACGACAAATCCACACATCAGAGTTGATACTCTTTCTCATCAACTATATTATCCTCAGAGGCCTCTTTTCAAAACAGTTATAGCTGACTGTCTTGGCAGATCAGATTATAATACTTTTGGTAGAAAAGATGACTTTGCGAGACCAGAATATTTCAATGGACAAAATGCAATTGTAGCAGTCAGTGTTCATCTGGGGTTTAACCAGGAGGATTCCCTGGTTATGAATAGGGCTTCTCTTGAACGAGGTATGTTTAGGACTGAACACCTCAGGAGCTATAAGGCAGATGTAGAAAACAAGGATGGAACCAAACGACTGAAATTGAAGGAAAAGATAGACTTTGGAAAAACAGAAAGCAAAAGAGGACGTGTTGACAATCTTGATGATGATGGCTTACCTTACATTGGTGCAAGTCTTCAGACCAATGACATCGTTATTGGAAAAGTCTCAGAATCTGGAGAAGACCACAGTATTAAGCTGAAGCATACAGAAAATGAATGGTTCAGAAAGTATTGCTTTCAGCAAATGATGAAGGGAAGAATTTTGCTGTGGTTACTCTAAGACAGGTAAGGCCTTTTTTGGCTACACCTCATTCCACATGTATTGGGAACTTGGGATGAATTGGTGTGGAAAATTAACTAATTTTCCACCCCAATCTATCTCAACACATGTGGAATGAGGTGGATACGAGTGCATCCAAAAAAGACCTAAATGACATTTGTCTTAGCAAAAAGAAGTATTAACCAGTAACCAATTAGTACATTCCTTGAATTTTGGCTTCACTTGCGAGCGTATGGACCTTATTTGACAATGGAATGCTGCATTCTTCTCTTGACTGTTCTACCGATTGACAGAAACCATCTGTAGCTGCATTGATTGTCAGTTAAGCCTGTTACCTGTTTTGCCTGGCATTGTTATTTAACCCAGTAGTTATCTTGCTCTTGAGCGATTATTGTTGGCCTTCTTGATATTCCTTTTTTAACCCAATAAGATTAATGAGTTATCTATGTCTATGTTCTTGCCATGCAATTAAGAGGAGATCATGGTCTCATGGATGATTAGAAAGACAAGCATCAGTGTGCGCTCATGGGTTACTTTACTTCATCCTTTATGGTTAAAATAAAGCTTGTTTTGACTTTATTACCTCTCTTTTCTTTTGCAACACTTGGCACTATTAACTTTTAGGATGTAACTTCGACACATGCAAATATTTCTAAGTACATATATTCTTTGGGTACCATTGTTAGCAATTCTAAAAATGGTAATTTCACACTATTGAACCATATATCTAAAAAAGTACAGATAATTAGAAAATCAAAGCTGACAAGTATTATGAAACAGGGGTAGTACCTTTTTATGGGGTTCAGCACTTTACATGATTCCATTGATCCACCCCACGTCCCCATACCCCAAAAAAGTAATAATAAGAATTTGGCTTCTCCTTGTTCTTGACTTTTAGGAAATGGATGAGCCCAGATAGTCTGCTGGCTTGGTTGGGCCAGCAGCTCAACTCACCCTTTTCCATTTCACCACATATGTTACTTTTTATTGACCATTTAAAGTTTTCTTTGTTGATCTGATTTTAGGTTCGGACACCTTGCCTTGGAGATAAGTTTTCCAGCATGCATGGTCAAAAAGGTGTTGTTGGTTTTCTAGAATCTCAAGAGAACTTCCCATTTACTCACAAAGGTATAGTCCCGGATATTGTGATAAATCCACATGCCTTCCCAACACATCAAACTCCCGGACAGCTGCTTGAAGCTGCTCTGGGGAAGGGGATAGCCTGCAAAGGTACAATGCGATATGCAACACCATTCACAACAGCATCAGTTGATGTTATTGCTGAACAGTTGCACAGGTAAGTGTTTCTTCTTCCAACGGATGAATAGCTGCTTGCCTTATTCAGTAACCCGCCCCTTGCACACGAAACAAATATATGAGACCCTTTCAAAGGGTTGAGCATTTTTAGCCTCTTTTAGTTGAACTTTGTAATTGTTAAGCTTATTCGTACATCTTATAAGAACCTTGTACATCATTAGTGCACCCATGCTCTCAAGTCTTAACTCTGTTAATATTTTACTGCTTATTACACATACAGAAGAAGAAAAAGAAAGGTAGGGAAATAAAGTGTACACACACAGAATGGCTGGTGGCTAACCTCATATTTTGTATATTGGTCATTTGAGTAAACATGTACTCCCTCCGTTCCAAATTATAAGTCGCTTTGACTTTTTTGGTTCATCCATTTTGCTACATAGCAAAATAATTTGGAACGGAGGGAGTACTGCATTGTTCCTAGTATCTCTTAGTTTACTGTAATTTCACATGTATGTATCCTTTTGTAATCTTTTGCTCCAAAACGGTGGAAACACACAACTTTCCTTCCCCTTTCCCTTTTAACTTGTATTACTATCAGTTGATGCTTATCTTTTTCTTAACCGAGACATCCATAGTGGCACCACTAGATATAAAGCTGAGTGCGCTCACACACTAACATGTTATCAGTGAGGATCTTACTTCAGATAATCAAGTAACTTTGCATGGAATGTATCTGAGAATGAGAATATTTTAGTTATTTTCTTGTGTAGACTTGTTTTCTTCTGTGTTCTGTTTAGTTGATCTCCAAAATTTTATGTATCTTGTTGCATTGCAGTGCTGGTTATTCACGATGGGGAGCCGAGAATGTTCTAAATGGCCGAACTGGTGAAAGAATGCAATCCTTGGTTTTCATGGGCCCCACCTTTTGCCAGAGGCTGATTCATATGTCTGAAGATAAGGTGACATTCCGTAATACTGGGCCGGTGCACCCCCTCACGAGGCAGCCTGTTGCCGACAGGAAAAGGTTTGGTGGAGTTAAGTTTGGAGAAATGGACCGTGATTGCCTCCTCGCCCATGGGTCAGCTGCCAACCTGCATGAACGCCTCTTCATGCTTAGTGACTTCTCCCAGATGCACTTCTGCCAGACATGCGAGCGTATGGCTAATGTTGTCGTGAGGTCTGTCCCCGGAGGCAAAAAGATCCGTGGCCCCTACTGTGGCTTCTGCAAGTCTTCGGAGAACATAGTGAGAATCAATGTGCCCTATGGCGCGAAGCTGCTCTACCAGAAACTCTTCAGCATGGGGATCTGCCTCAAGTTTGATACTGAAGTCTGCTAGAACTTGTAGACCTGATTGTATCCAGACATCCAGTTATGTACATAAAGTTACCCTATGAGGATATCGTACTGGCAGCTATGTGAAAACTCGTGCCGATGTGTGCTGCTGGCATAGCAAGGATGGGCGAGTCTGATGGAGTGAAACGGCACTGGCAGGTGGGTATCTCCAAGCCGGTGTGGGGATCTACTTCTGCATTGAGAATAAACTCTGTTGAAACTAGAAACCCTGTAGCGTTTATGTGCTGTTTCTCCCTGCTCATGTGATAAGCTATGCTCAAGTGAATGAACACTCGTTTCCTGTTTCCTGCTTGAATTGCGCTGTTGCATGCTTTTTTTGTTTTAAGATTGTGATTTTGTGGAGCACCTGTATTGCTCCGTAGGGATCAGGGAATGTTGCTATTGGATCACAACCCTTGCCACCGGTGATGATCGACGATGTGAGCTAGGCAAATTGGATCAATGATACGATGACAAGGGAGGAGCAAGATATCCTTTCACACGATAATATTTCACAGGCTGATACACAGGCTGGGCTTTAACATGCCGCAGCTGAGAGCTGACACTGACCACATGGCTCCACGCGCACAAACACAAGCTTCCATCCGTCCCACTCCTGCTTGACCAGATGTTGTGAGTTGTGGCACCTGTATTGCTCCGTAGGGGCTAGGGAATGTCACAATTGGAGTACCGACTGCTGATTTGTGCGATGTTTCCTAGATTATCATGAATCGAGATACTCTGATTATTGAGGGCCCATAGGAATTTCGTAGGATCCATACAACAATTTCATACGAATCAATTCAATTTTAAAGAAAAAACGTAGAATTTAGGGGGGAAAATTCTACAATCCAAAAGGGGGCCTGAAGAAGCATTGTGCCACTTGTCCAATGGCATGTTTCAAGTTTGATAAGTTCGTACAAAAAAAAAACAATGTTTATGATACCAAATAATAATTTTGGATTTATCATGAAATATGTTTTTATGAATTAGGACAAATATAAAACATCCAGATAATTTTGAGAGCGGGGAGTAGTTTATAGATGTATTAGGAACCGTGCCTTTATGGTGCTTTGGATCTTTGATCAGGGTACCCATTTTGTTTATCATAACCTTAGTAATTAATAGAGCTTATAAAAATTAAAGGAATTTTACAGCATGGATAGTAAATCTTTGATCTAACGTGCGTTCTTGTCGGTGTTTTGTAAACCGGACCAGTAAATTTATACGATTGCCGCGCTGCTCTAGGAATACGATGGTAGCATCCAAAAGACACGAGGATTTATACTGGTTCAGGCCGGAGCCCTACATCCAGTCTCAGAGATGATCGAGTGCGTGTTCCTCGCTTGAATACTCTGAAGTTCTTACAATGGAGAGTGCAAGAACAGTGGAAGAGGTAGGAGAGCTATAGCTAAGAGATGAACAGCCTGAAGGGAAGCTTCAGGAGTCTGGTGGTGTGAAGAAAAATGAGAATGTGTCCCTTGGGATGATGCTCTGGCTATCCTTATATAAAGTTCGGGGCCAGGGCATGTACAAAGAAGAAGGTTCTCCCGATCGAGAGGTCGTGAGCCTAAGGGAGGAGCCTAGCTAACTTGACTTGCAAGCTACGCCGTCTTGTGGTGCACGTTTGGGCGTGGTTGTCATCATGGTGTTGTGCCCACGTCGCGGTAAGATGTGGCGTGGTGCCACTGTGCCGGCCGTAGCGGCACTGTAGGCACGGCGATGGTTCGCTAGCCGTCCTGTGCGACGTGGTCTCCATTGTGGTCTTCGTCATCGCCTCCTGGTTTCTTGTGGGTGTCGTACAGGAGTTGGTAGCTGCCCGCAGGTCGCCGGGCCCCTGATCGTCTTGTGGAGTTGGTGGCCACGATTCCAAACTCTGGGGTCGTGGCTTCCGTCGGTCTAGATGGCCTCCAAGTCAAGGCCTCCGTCGTGGATCCCATCCCGTAGTCGGTAGAATCGTACGTGCGTCTTGTCGGGCCGTATCTGGATGGTGGGCACCGTACCTGGCTGTCGTCGCCGTGCGGTGTTGTCTTGTCCGTGCTGCGTGGCGCAGGGATCGCGTCTGACCGGACCGAGGTAACCGCTGTCCCCTCGGTCCTTGCGGGGTCAGTGCGGCGTGCTCACTCCTGTCAGAGCAGGCACGCTTGGCTGGGTCCGACCTCTCCTCGTTCCTCCCAGGGGTCGGGACGGTGGAGAGGTCGTGAGTTTCTTGTGCGTCGTGCGGCTAAGTCTGATGAATGGGTCGTGGCCGACTTTGGCCTTAGCGCTTGGCCTGGTTTTCTTAGATCAGCTAGGCTTCGGTCGTTCGGGCCCTTGCTAGCTGATGCATTGTGGGCCGCTCGGCCTGCTAACTTATCGATGCCTTGAGACACCCGAGGATCATAACCCCAACAGTTCTAAAATAATTCACTCAAAATCTACTGGTCAGCACCATCCTCTTGTTCTAATTTGAAAATACGAGTTTTCCCATGCTTCCCATTTGCCACTAACTGAAAATATTTCGTATTCGCATCTCCTTCTAATAAGTTCCTTACCTTTGCCCTTTCCTACCATTTCAGTTCCTCCTCTCTCGAGAGTTCTGTAAGTCCCGCATTCAACACAATTGATTGGCTATCATTAGCGACGATGATTAGTCTACCAAATTAAAGTCAGGTGTTTTTTTATCATTGAAGAATTTTTAGAATTTATCTTTTTGGAACTTGACTTGTGAGAATCAGCCTATACTCAGTAACAGTAACAGTAACACTCTCATCTCTAGTTGTCGGCTGCAAATCGCATCACATTATTCACAACATCCTGAATAAATTTTGGCACACATGCGATCGATAGCCCATCTAGTGGCAGCAATATTGTCATGCGAGGTAGTACATCTGTGAATATAAAGGCATACTACGAGCTGAGGGCACATCTCTGAATGGCCCATCCTGATTAATATTGGCATGACCAAACGTCCAAACCTCATTGCACCTTGCACTTGCACGACGAGACATTCACAGAATTTCCACTCGCTTTCATGCATTTACCACCTTGTAGAAGGGCTTGAATGCACATACATACACCCAACTCAATCACTGCAATTTCTGGCTGTTTTTAACGTGAGCCAGAAAAGAGGTGTCGAGCATGGGGAAACCTAGATAAAGGTAGAAAAAGGGGGACATCTGGTAGGGTTTCCCTCTCCCATGGGGCCAATGGTAGGAACCAAAAGAAGCAGCTAGCAAGTAGCTAGCCAGGGACGGACAAGCGATGATTTGTTAGTACCAAACGAACACCATCATCGCCGAAAGGACGCGATAGATTATTCCATCTCGTGCATGCTTAAACTAGATTACCTGCTGCAACTTAGTTCCCGGACCGACAAGCTAGGCACAATCCTCTTTTGCAAGAGATCTTTTCCATGGAGGAGGGCCCCTCCACCTCCTCCTCGACGTTGCATGCCTCATCAATTCAAGGGACTAGCTCGATCCTGCGAGCAACTTTTGCTGCGATCAGAATTCAGAAAGAATGAGAGAGGTAGGACCAGCGCAAAATTGAAGCTCTCTGCAGCCTTCTTTTGTCTGGCCAAACGCAATTGATTTGGCATGCATGGACCCTCGCTCTCAGTTCATCAGTTGTACGTTGTACGCAGGGCATGCATGATCTAAAGCTTTGCATGCATACGAATCAAATCCTCTTGTGGTTAGGATCGGCATGCAGAAGTGGGCCTTCGTTTGCATTGGTACGTACTGATAGCTTTATTATGGCTACAGGAGCACGATGATCTGATACAGCAACTCACTTGCCAAACATGCTAAATATGCACACCTGTAAAGGGCAAGTGTGGTTTAATGTCATGGATCATGGACTTTTCAACATATGCGAGTACCTGCGGCTTGTGCATGAGATGTAAAATCAATGGGTAAGTTATGCAACTCATAATCAGCTGATCTTCCAATGAGGAACTGTGGTACAGGTACCACTTCTTATGGCAAAACAGGAGTATTCATTATTTCTGAATGAAGCGCACTGAATGGCAAAAGGTACAGCGTCTTGTGTGGACCTAAACTACTTTAATTTGCTCTAACTCATCTTTTGATGGAGTACATGACATTTCTCTCTGATTTTCCTTAATCTTTTGTATGTTCGTTATTTCATTATTTGCACCTCAGTGCCTTTTTGCAAGATATGATGGTGTGTTATTCTCTCTGTTTTGCAGTGCAGCTATAACTAATGTTTGTACATTGAGGACACCAAGCAGTTACTCCCTCCATACTCAAAAATGAAGTCGTTTTGGACAAGACTCGGGTCAAACATTGGGAATATAAATCATGAATAACTTTTAAGTTGTTGAGTTTGGAAATATGAAAACCATATGTATAGATTTTTCTTGAAAAATACTTTTACAAAAATTTACATATATCACTTTTTGATAAATATCTTTATAAAAATAAGTAGTCAAAGTTATGCTTTGGAGACCGTGTCGCTGTCCAAAACGACTTCATCTTTGAGTATGGAGGGAGTATTGTTTATGTTTCCACTTCTTTTCTTAGGGCCCTTCGGAATATAGGAATTTTACTCTGCTAAAAAATATAGGAATTTTACGGGAATTTCATAGAAACTAGTTCATTTTCATCGGAAAAACACAGAAAACATGAAAAACTCACACATTCCAAAGAGAGCCTCGTGGGTATATGTGTGGTCATTTGACATTTTCTTAATTGGTATTTCCTTTGTTATCATCGGAATAACAAAGTATGTTTTAGTTCTAAACCTAGAATTGTTTGTTTTTTGGGATAACGGCGGTATGTATATTTACCTAACTGTTGTATGTAGGTTGCTAGATTAGTCGTGTAAATGGTGCGATAATAAATATAGAACCAGAGGTTGGCTCTATTATTAGTCATGCTCTAAGAAACTCCAAGATAATATTTGCATTGGAGGTGTTGTCTCAAGATGTCATTTAATGATGTTTCTGTGATGTATTAGGAACAGTAGTCTTTGATAACAACAACATGATACTGCATTATTTCAGTCTCTACATGAGTTATACGCCCAACCAATCTTCAAGGTTTGTCCAGCTTCATGAGTATTTCATGAAAGCATTTCACTGCAAATCCAAAGGTGGAGCCAGAGGCAATGCCAAAAGAAGTTGCATATAACAAGAAAAAGAAGCAGACAAATGCTCTTTCCTCTCTCTGGCAATTGCGTGCTCTGATCTCCCTCCTAAAATCCAAGCAAGCTGCATGGAATCAGAATTGCTGGGAGGTCTTCAAAAGCCACCCCGGTTGGCTTTTATCACGCCCACAGGGGCCCTTTGGCTCATCATTCCCGGAACATATATCAGGGCAGCGGCCAGCGGCAGGCCATCAAGACCCACACAGCACACAGCACACAGCACAGACCTTCTCTGTCTGCAGGAGCTGCCTTGCCCTCGCCTGTGTTCGTTTGACCGACGCCCGGCCGGCCAGAAAAACAAACAGGAGCTCGTTTCTTGCCATGGGCATATGCATGCAAGTTTTCTTTTTTTTTCCTCCAGCCTTTTGGCGCAGCGCAGCGAATCCTAGTCGGTCGTGTTCTGGCGTCGACGCATCGGTATCAGCTGCAGTGTGCGGCGTCGTTTTCCAACCCTTTTCCGAGGCCTGGTTTAGTCGACGAAATTTCGTGCAGAATGGCACTGTATCATTTTTGTTGGTATTTAATAATTAGTGTCCAATCATACTCTAATTAGGTTTAAAAGATTCGTTTCGTGAATTTCGTCTAAACTGTGTAATTAGTTTTATTTTTTATTTATATTTAATGCTTCATGCATGCGTCCAAAGATTCGATGTGACGAGAAATCTTGAAAAGTTTTACAAAATTTTGGGAACTAAACAGGGCTTGTTTTGGCATAGCACTTGGCTACCTAAGGCTGTGTTGGGGCGAAATTTAGGAATTTGACTACGGTAGCACTTTCGTTTTTATTTGACAATTAGTGTTCAATCATAGACTAATTAGGCTCAAAACGTTCGTCTCGCGATTTCCAACCAAACTGTGCAATTAGTTTTTTTTCGTCTATATTTAATGCTCCATACACGTATTGAAAGATTTGATGTGATGACTGCTGTAATACTTTTTGGGAAATTTTTTTGAACTAAACGTGGACTAAGATGGGGTTGGTACTAGGGATTTTACTATGAGTTGGTTCGTTCGCATTTGCAACGCTGCAGTGCGGCTCAGAGACGGTACTGTTTGCGAAGTGACTGCCGCTTGCGTGCAGCAGCTGTCGCGCGTGTTTACTTGCCTGAATTTTGGAATTTTTGTTTTTATTTAGTAATTAGTATTCATTTATGGACTAATTAAACTTAAAATGTTCGTCTCGCAAAAATATATCTAATATTAAATCTAATAACACTTATTTGATGACATAACTATTTATATCTTTTTATATATAATTGATCAAATTTGAGATATCTTAATTTGATACTGTGCTAAAATTATACTTTTTTTTTACGGATGGAGTACTCTCTTGCCCTAAAATAACTACTCGCTGCGTCCCAAAATATTTCACCTTTTAGGTTTGAACACAAGAACTAAAGAGAAGTGAAAAAGAGAGATAGATATGTATTGAAAAAAGAAAAAAGATATATTAGAAGAAAAAAGGTATATTAAAAGTGAGAATGTCACACATTTTGAGTCAAAATTTAAATCCTATATTAGAAGAAAAAAGATATATTAAAAGTATTTTGGAATGGAAGGAGTACACGTCTCGTTTGAGTAGAGAAGTTGCCCATGAATTAATACTGATACATGGGCATCAAACAAGGCGTGTCCTCGTGGTGCAGCGGGCCGTGATTGTTTACCTGGACTCTTCGCCAGCCTGGTGCGCACGGTGATTAAAGCAGCCTGGAGCCTGCATCCCAGGAAACGAAATCGAAGTCCCGTCGGCCTGGTTCGCTGCGTTCGCACGCGCCTGATGCGGTTACCTTCGGTGTCTTTTCTCCCTCACCCCTCCTCCGGCTCTATTAGTGACTGTTCTTCTCCATGAGCGTGACGACCACCATGGCGGAGACGGAGAGGACGAGGCCCGTCCCAACACGCTGCAGCGAGGATAGCCCATGCGGAGCCCCCCGAGCGGAGGCGGCCATGGCAGCGACGGCCGCCGCCTGCTCCACGTGCCACCCGCCGCGCCTGCAGATCTCGCCGTCGCGTGCTACTCGGCGGCGCTCCTCTCCATCCCCATCTGCGACGCCGGGCTTGACGCGGGGGCGGGCCTCGTCGAGCTCGACGGCCACGTCGGACGCGTCCGCTCGATTGGGCCTGCGCTGGGTTCGTTGCCCGCCATTGCTATGCTGTAGTTGGGGGCGCACGGTGGCGGGTGGGAGGTGGCGGTGCTGCTGGTGTAGGGGAAGAGCTGCAGGAGTGAGCGTGCTCTTCAGACGAGGACCGGCGTCCTCCGCTGGGGAACCGGGGAAGGCGGGGGATTGGGGAATGAGCGTGCTCTTCCATGGACGCCAACCAGGTGCTCGATGGAATGTCTCAAAGAAGGTAACTCTACCACATACTTGTCCAAGGTCACCACATCCAGCAGTCCAGGCAAAACAAACGAGAACCGGCGCGAGACGGGGTTTGCTGGAAAATTAAACCAAACAAGCACCCGCTAGGCCTGGCCTCCACTGTCTTGGCTCTCCTGGTCCGACCAGGCTGAGAAGGTCCAGGAAACAAACACGCCCAAGAAGACGACTGGGAGAATGCATGACAGACGGAAAGAGGAGAATAGGAGAGAGGGCAAAAGCTGGCACGGCCACCCCCCACGTCCCATGCAACAGCAACTTCACAATTCAATTCTTGCATCTCCATATGGGCTAGTTTGTGTGAGTGAGTTTTGGATGGCATGGGGCTAAGGGACTCATTGATACGACGAGTAAATTTTGGTCATCTAAAATTCAAAAAGGTGGATTTATAGTTTTTTTATTTTTGTAGTCACTAACAAACATGCTCATTGCATGGAATGTAGTATAGTTTTATTGCAAAGATATTTGGATGGCCTACAACTCAATGCAACGATTGTGTCTTCTATTCTAATACATTTTATAATTAGACTTCATGCTAAACACACGGTGTACTACGAAATATAATCTCATGTTGGATTTGGATTGTGCTGGTTTAGATTGAAAACAAGATCTGATATTAGATTTGGATTAAAAAACATGTACACGGAGTGAGTGTGAAGAGAAAGAATAAGATACACGGTGGGATAGGTTGAGGTGTCTTCTAATCCTTGCAAATATGTTCATGGGTTAAAACTAAAGGAGCGTACAACTTGTGTTATCTATTTGAAATACATCTTGAAAACAAACTATTTAGGCCCCGTTCGGCTTATAATCCGCACTATTCAGCTTGTTTTTTTTTTCAGCTGGAACAGTGTTTTCCTCTCACAACAATTCAGCCAGAACAGTGTTTTCAGCCAATTCAGGCAATTTTCAGCAAGCCGAACGGAGCCATAATGCTATTGGACGCATGCTATTTTTAACTCCTACAAGTATGGATCACGAGTTCAAATCACAGACTGGACAATATATAAATGAATTATGACTCTTATCTCTTATCCATCACGTACTAGTACCCTTGTAATAGAACCGGACATAGGGGCGAAGAGATACTCAGGGGGGAGCGAATTATGCAAATTCGGAGGAGAGATATTTTCGCTATTTAATATTCTATTTATTCCAAATTGTAAGCTATTTCTTTTAGATACATAGCTTTGTTATAACTACCTGTGCTCCAAAAAGAATGCAACTGTACAACAGTGTTGTGTCAAAGTATGTAAAGTTTGTCTAAACTTGCATAAAATTTTACTAATATTCATGGTACTAAAAACATACTATTAGATTCATCTTGAAATATATTTTTATAATATACTTATATATTTATTTGTCGTCATAAGCATTAACATTTCTATCTATATATTTGGTCAAACTTTAGACACTTTAACCGAGAATACATAGAATTGCATTATTTTTTAACAGAGGTAGTTTAATGTCTTAGATACATAGTAATAAAATCTATGAATATAGAAAAACAAAATCACTTAAATTTGGAATGAAATGAGTACCAGATATACATTTAGGCCAGTCTCAAACTCTCAATGCAAGTTTTATGAGAGTTTCACATATACATTTAGGTCAGTCTCAATGCAAGTTTTATGAGAGTTTCATTGACATTAAATAAGCTGATATGGCATAGTTTAATTGAAGAGATATGATAAAAGTTTTATGGGATGAAATGAGTTTAATGGCATGAAACTTTTTTTTGAAAAGAAATGGCATGAAACTTGTTTGCACTGTTTTAAAATCTGTGTCTGGGAAACGAGGACATGAAATCTCCGCTGAGACTGGCTTAGATATTAAAAAAACACATAATATCTTATTTGGATGCACGTATATCCACTTCGATCCACGTGTGCTGGAGTAGATTGAAATAAAACTTAGTTTAATTTCGGTCCGATTCATTTTAACACATGTAGATTAAGGTACGTACGCATCAAACAAGGCCAGTGGTACGTACAGATTATCCACCAATTTGATACGCCCCTCTCATTCCTCTTACCCGGTTTCACCGCCTGGGGCCTTCTCGGTTCACCTGGTAGCTATCACATTTGTGGCAGCAGCATTGGACAGACTAGTTTAATTTGTGCTAGCGCTAGCGCACACAAAGGAGAGCGAGCTCGAGAGCAACAAGCTAAGGGCTTGCGTGTGCATGGTTGGTGGGGGAAATGGCTAGTGGCAGCAACTGGCTAGGCTTCTCCCTCACCCCGCAAACGGCCATGGAGGTGCCCTCCGTTTCTGAAGCCGCTCGTGCCCATCACGCTCCACCTCCTTCCAGTACTATGATCTCCTCTTACAGTACTACCAACGCCACCACTTCCAACTTCCTCTTCTCACCGATGGCCGCTCCCTATCCTGGTTACTACTGTGTGGGCGGCGCGTATGGCGATGGCACCAGTACTGCCGGCGTCTGCTACTCCCATTTGCCTGCCATGCCCATCAAGTCCGACGGCACCCTCTGCAACATGGAAGGTCTCTGCTGTGCCCTTCCCTCTCACACACACAATCGTATTCTTTCCACCTCTAACGTTATGGTCTTCTTGTCTTGGCATGAAGTAGGCATGATGCCGTCGTCCCCACCGAAGCTAGAGGACTTCTTGGGTGGTGGCAATGTCGGTGGGCAAGAGGCGGCCACCTACTACAGCCACCAGCAGGGCCAGGAAGAGGGGGCGATCAGGGATTACCGCCAGTACCAGCACCACCAGCTCGTCCCCTACAACTTTCAGCCTCTGATGGAAGCAGAGATGCTCCAAGAAGACGCGGCGCCAATGGAGGAGGCGATAGCGGCGGCCAAGAACTTCCTCCTAACGAGCTACGGCGCTTGCTACAGCAACGGGGAGATGCACCCTCTGAGCCTGTCGATGACGAGCCCCGGGTCCCAGTCGAGCAGCTGCGTCAGTGCGGCTCCGCAGCAGCAGCAGCAGCACCAGATGCCCGCTGTAGCCACTGCTGCCGCTGCCCTGGGCCGCAGTAATGGCGATGGTGAGCAGTGCGTCGGGAGGAAGAGAGGCACCGGCAAGCGAGGCCACAAGCAGCAGCCGGTGCACCGCAAGTCCATCGACACGTTTGGGCAGAGAACCTCCCGTTATAGGGGCGTCACCAGGTAATCTGCTTACGCAGATTTTCGCTTTTCCTTGTGTCGTATCTCTTGTTGCGTCGTTTGTTTCATCATCAGTAGTATGTTGGTATGCTTTGCAACTCTTCAGTATACTCTGACGTTGTCTCCTTCTCTGCGGCACTGATCATCTGGTATGGTATTTGCACATTTCTGAGCTTGTGAAAGCCAATTTACTCCTGGTTCCTAATTTGGAGGTTTCGACTTATGTTCTACTAGTACCCTTGTTAGTTTCCAGCATTGATGTGGCTGCGATGTAGAGAAAGTAAATGCTCTGCTGTTCTTGTTGTTCAGTTGGCCAGCAACTCATGCTTGACGCCAAATCTTTTTAATGCCTGATCTTAGTAGTAGAATACTTCAGTTCGATTAAAGCTGGGTGCTCTGATCCTTTATGGCCCCCCTGCAGTTCCACCTATTAATGTGGCAGCTATTCTCTTGTTATGGAGCAAACAATTTACTCTGTCTTTTGGGCCAAACAGTTTTCTTTGTTTGAACCGCACTGTTTTGTATTGAATGATGAAGGGTTTTGTTTGTGTTTGATTCACTGGAGCAGGCACAGGTGGACTGGGAGATATGAAGCCCACCTCTGGGACAACAGCTGCAGAAAGGATGGGCAGACTAGGAAAGGCAGACAAGGTTGATAGCTAAGAACCCAAAATAAACGATGTAGCAAATCTTATCCATCACCTTATGACTCCTTTCTGACATTTTGATTCCTTTTTTATTTTTGAAATGGTGATTCTGGGGTTTGCCATGACTGAATGTGATTGGCCGTGCATCGCAGTATATCTAGGTAAGAAGAATCGTTTCTTATCCAATCGTGCTGTCTATTGTTCAGTTAGCTGTTTCGAGCTGCGTCTAGTAGATCCGTAAATAGGAAATGTTATTTCTTTTATCTGATTATTAGGTGGCTACGACACTGAAGACAAGGCCGCGAGGGCTTATGATCTGGCTGCTCTGAAATATTGGGGTCCAGCTACTAGCATCAATTTCCCCGTAAGTGTGTGTCATGGAGATGAGTTTCATTGAAGAAAATTGAAGCTTGTATGTTCATTTATGTAATAGGCCTAGCACACTTTGTTTGGCAGGTAGAAAACTATCGAGATGAACTTGAGGAGATGAAAGGCATGACAAGACAAGAATATGTTGCGCATTTGAGAAGGTTAGTGCTTTGAGTGCATTGTAACTACATTGTTTCATTGATGTCTTCCTGCATTTCCTAAGTTGCTATTGATCACAGGAGAAGCAGTGGATTTTCTCGAGGCGCTTCCATCTACCGAGGAGTGACAAGGTTCGTTTGGGCAGATTACGCCACCACATTTTGCTTCCTTAGTGCGGACCACAACCAAAGTACAAGAAGAAATCATCTCAATGTACATGCTAACTGCATTACAGGCATCACCAGCATGGAAGATGGCAGTCTCGGATTGGACGGGTTGCTGGAAACAAGGATCTATACCTCGGCACTTTCAGTAAGAAAGATCTGTCTATTTGACTGCAGATTTGTAGGGCCAAAATTCTTCTATCTATAAAGTAATGTGTTAAGTAAACTCATAAAAGAAACTTTTAGCACTAATCCTTTGGTGGTGTCTGTTGTACTATGTTAATTGTCTCGTCAAAGTACATTTGCTGTAGAAGAAGGTAGGCATGGAACATAAGCTTTTACTGCTTGTATCAAGTTTTGTGCATGGCTTTTGCGTTCACTTTAATCCGTGGGGTGCACATTCGATGATCATTCTTTGCTTTTTCAGATAGTTATGCTTTTCCTAAGGCTGTGACCCCTGACCAAAGCAACCTGTTGACTGTTTTGAATACTCCATTGAACACTTGAACTAAAATATGGTATTAGCACGACACGAAAGTAATCTGATCGAAAACTGTACTTCACATTAGGATCTTTTCTTGGTTTCACAATGTACTGACTAGATTAGTTGATCGGAAATTGTACTTTGCATTAGGATCTTATCTTGGTTTCCCAATGTACTAACTAGATTAGTTGGTAGTACATGATATTTTTTTCATAGGTCACACCTACAGCTGAGTTTGTTCTTACATCGCTTACTGAATATGCTGCAGCCACTCAAGAAGAAGCAGCTGAGGCGTACGACATAGCTGCCATCAAGTTCCGTGGCTTGAAC